AAGAGAAGTAGTGTGTAAACAATATGAAGACAATGGATTTCCTCACTTTTATCTCCTAATGTCAAACTTTGACATCAGAACAACACCCCCCCCCCTTTTTGAGACAGGGTGTAGGGATGCTGTAGCAAAAGGGGAATTGTAGGTGATGCTGTAGCCAGCCCCTAAGTAGGCATGGCTACAGCATCCCCTACAATAGGGTTTTTTTGTAGTTCTGGATGTGTCCTGGAACTCACTCTGTAGACCAGGCTTGCTTCAAACTAAGAGATCCACCTGTCCCTGCTTCCTAAGTGCTAGGATTAAAGGTGTGTTCGACCATGGATGACTTTTTTGCCTATTTTTATGAGCATGAACAAACAAAATCAGTTGATTCATTTTGATGAACAAGCTTCCCGATGGCAAACTAATCACTTAGTGTGTGACATCATTATTTAATTTAGCTTTGCCTGTAGTTAAAGTACAGGTTTAAAGGCAAGGCATGGGTGGCATATACCCTTAACCCCAGCACTTGGGAGACAAAGGCAGAACTCTATGAGATCTATTGATCATTGAGTTCTAGGTCAGCCTTAACTACATAGTGTGTTCCAGAATAGCTCGGGCTATATAGAGACTTCGTCTCAGAAAATCCAAAATAAAGCAAAACAAAAACAGCAACAACAAAAATAGCAGGGTTAAGGCAGGCGGTGGTGGAGCACATCTTTAGTCCCAGGATTCTGGAGGCAGAGGAAGGTGGGTCTCTGTGAATCCAAGACTAGCCTGGTCTACAAGATCTAGTTCCAGGACAGGCTCCAAAGCTACACAGAGAAACCCTGTCTTGACCTCCCCCCCACCAAAAAAATACCCAAACAAACTGAAGGGACCAGCTCCCCATTTCGGCAGACATGACAGTAACACGTGCTTGCCATGACCTTGTCCTAGTCACTAGAAAGTCAGATGCCTGCCTGTGGCAAGGAACCAATCAGAAGTTAGCTGGTGGCGCTATGCTTTACGGCTCTGGGTGTGCTTTATGGACAAGTGCACAGCAATGGCTTGAAGAGCATGGCAACCACCCTGGGAGGGCCTATGGGCCATAACAACCAGTTGGCCAATCAACACAGGGCAAGCCCTCCAAGCCTGGAGGCACACCAATCCTGAGCCTGTGTGTACCCCTAGACACTCCCCTTATTGCTGCCCTATAAGATCTCTATGCAGACTCTTCGAGCTGTCTTTGCTATCCGAGCTCGTTAAACAATAAAGCCTTGTGCAGTTTGCAGCAAGCTTTCGAATCTGCCTGGTGATTAGGGTGACCACAGTCCTGGGCTGAGACCCTGGAGGCCTGAGGTTTTCCGGGGTTCTAACAAAACCAAACCAAAACAGGCTTAAGGGCAAGGAGTAATGATAGACCGGCTAATTTCCATGGAACTCAGACTCTTATTTTCAAGCAGTAAATTCGGAGTTTAGGAGGAATCCATTGCATCATTTATGCAGCCTTAACTATGAACTATTGTTTTTTTCCCAATGACTTTAAGGTTGCCTCCCTTTAGCTTTTACTCATTAATGCTTGTTCACATCTGTGTAATAATCTGCCCATTAACCGATCAGTCCTTCACAGAGTATTTTTCCAAACATCTCAGGCCAGTCTTCAGGGTCATCTTCCCTCGCAGCGTCCCCCTTCTCATACGACACTGCAATTCCACTATCCACCTCCATAATCAATACACGGCTGCCAATGTCCCTCTTGAGAGCGGACTCCAGGCCGATCGCCAGAACACTCCACGTTGATAAGCGAAACACGGACTCTTGCTCCAACTGTGAAGGCAGCAAGATGCTAAAAACTGTAATGAAAATAACTTTCAGAGCAGCAATCAGAATCGGCAATGCACCCCCTGGCCACACTCCGGTCTTGCGATGGGAACCTTCCAGTTTCTGGCTGGCACAGATCAAGGTGTAATCAGGGCCAAACCAAGGCGAAGGCGGAAGCTAACACCCACTTCCGGGTCAAGCCTCTTCTGGCGAGGCTCTTGGGCTCTCCCCCCAGGCCACGCCCGACGGAGGGCGGGGCTACGCAGCGCGCTACCCGAACGCCGGCCGGCTGGTTATGCGCAGGCTCACAGGAAGCGCTCGCTGAGGACTTCCGGAGAGGGTTTTCCCTGACAGCCCGCGGCGTGCGATCGGGCGAGCGTGGCGCCGGGGAGAGCTGTGTGAGCGCCCCGCGGTTCTGGGAGCGTCAGTTGCGGGCCGGGAGGTTTAGGTTACCGTGGCGGCGCCGCCGCCGCCAGTCTGAGGACTCGGGGCTCGCGTCAGGCGTCCGCAGCGTCCGTGGGGCCGACCTCACTGAATTGAGGCGTCGCTTCAGGCTTTGGCGCCCCACGGTGGAGTCGGCTTTCCTACAAGGCTTAGTGCGCGCTCGCGGGGCCGGCCGCCCCCAGGTGAGGTGGAGCAGCACCCCGGGGCTGGCCCTGCGCCCTCCCCGCGGCGCGGTGACTAACCACGCACCCTCAGCCTCCCGCGCCGCAGGGAGACGCTGCTGCCAGTCAGCAGGCTCGAGACCCGGGCCCGTCTCCAGCGTCGCGGAAAACACACACACACACACACACACACACACCAGCAGCGCCAGAGCACTCACCCTGGACCAGTCTGAAGGTGTCCGGAGCCAGGGTGGCGCCGTAGGATTGCAGAAAGGAGGGGCGTTTGGTGGAATTCTAAATCGCAGTACCCGAAGCTTCAATACCGGATAGGTACTCAGAACTGGGGTCTGCACCCTTTCGACAGTTCAATCCAAGGTCAGTGGCATATGGCTGCTTTTGTAGAGTCATTTATTTGCCATGGCCCCCTGCCCACCTCCTAGCCATTTTTTTGGTCACACCAGCTAGTCTGTGTGCTCTGCATTTGCTAGACTCCTGTCTTCACTCCTTTTGGTCATGTTACGTATTTTGTATAAGTCCTTCAGCCTTCCTTCCTTCCTTCCTTCCTTCCTTCCTTCCTTCCTTCCTTCCTTCCCTCCCTCCCCACCACCCAGCAAGTCCTACAGTTTTCATTACTAAGTGGGAGAGAATAGGGTTGCTGCTGCGATTAAATTAGATATTTTATAGTCTAAGTATGTAGTTAAGTCCCAGTAAATACTAGCTCCTGCTGTTACTGTACTTGCTATATTGTGTTATGTATTCTTCAGTTTCTTTATGTAGCTTTAGCTTTTTTACTTTGTAATTAAGGATGTCTCATTTTTGTATGTTCTTGGTTCAGAGCTTTGCAGTATTATGTTTTATGGATTTTAGAAACTTTTTATTTTACATGTGTGGGTGTGTGCCTGCATGTGTGTGCCTATGTTCTGTTGTGAAGGTGGTTGTATGCCCTGGGACTAGGGTTCCAGAAGATCATGAACATGGGTGCTGGGAACCAGCACAGGTCCTCTAGAAAAGCAGCAAGTGCTCTTCACTGCTGAGCCGTCTCTAGTCCCCAGACTTCTATTTTTAAAAAATGTGACTTGAGTTTAGGCTGTTGTTGACTTAAACAGATTCAGTGTTTCCTTGAAAAGAACTGTCAGATACAATGGGCCCTGCTGCTCAGGTGACTTTGCTACAAGAAAAGATTGCTTTTCAGCTCAAGTCAGGTGCCTGTGGGTTAACGTGTACTGACGCTAACTGATACTCTCAGTTTGGAATAGATATGAGCGATTTCGATGAAGAATTGACAAAGCTTGCTTTGGCAGAGGATGGCAAGAGAGAAACCTCTGTGTTCTCTAATCCAGGAATGCATTTCCCGTGGCTTCAGGAGCGAATAGAGACTGTAGGTAAGTGGGACAGCACTTTCACTTTAATGCAACTAAGTGTCGAGACTGAACACAGCTACAAAGTGAATGACCAAGCCAGGTCATTTTTCCTCCCCCTTAATTTCTGTTGTTGTTATTGTTGTTAGACAGGGTCTTGCTGTTTATCCCTGGCTTGCCTGGAACTCACTTCATGTAGCTCAGGCTGGTTTAGAACTCCTGGTTGTTCTTGCCTTAGTCTCCAGGTGCTAGGGTTACAGGTGTGAATCAGGGTGCCTAATATTGTAATAAGATTAGATGGGGGTTTCCCTTTTCTTTCTTACAGCTGGAGACAAAAAGGAAATTAGAAGAAGTAGCTTTTTTTTTTAAATTTTATTTTATTCTTTTGGTTTTTTAACACAGGGTTTCTCTGTGGCTTTGGAGGCTGTCCTGGAACTAGCTCTTGTAGACCAGGCTGGTCTCGAACTCACAGAGATCTGCCTGCCTCTGCCTCCTGAGTGCTGGGATTAAAGGCGTGCACCACCATGGCCTGGCCCTTTTTAAAAAATAATACACAGTCTATATTATGAACTACACATGTATAAATTTATATATATGAATATAGTTCTCTTTACTGAGCACTTGTATTTGGCATTGGCAGAATATTGGGGACGTACAGATGAAGAAAATGTGGTCTCATTGAGGAGCACATACATAGGAAATGTTAAGGAAATTTCTGTTGAGTTTAATGGAAATGGTTCCTTATAGCATTGATGTAATAGGTTTAAAAGGCATCTTTCTTCATTTTTAATCTAATGTAGATGCAGACAATGCTTTTAGTGGGTTAACGTCTATAGGACTATATGAAGAAGCCGTGGTGGAATGCTGCATGGGTCAGACCTTTAAATACACTTAAACCTGCACTTTTCTTATTACTCTCCATGCATTTCTTGGCTCCAAGAATTTAGCTCCCATTTAAAAAGAAAAATTCATTTAGTTTTATATTCCCAGTAATTTAGTCCTCAGTAAATGTGAGGACACTGAATTGCAAAGAAATTAAACTCGCCCCCCCTCCCCCAGGTTTCTCTGTGGCGAAATTAAACTCTTAAGTAATGATATAAGGAAGCAAATCAGGTCTGTCTGATCTCAAGTCCTGTACTTCTAAACATAAAGAGGTAGATGGAACTTGGCCTGAGAGCAGTCTTCTCTTAGGTGGATAAAGGCTATTTGAACAGATACTGTGCCAGTTTTGTGGGCTGGTTGCCTGGAATTGTGATCTAAGCAGCTTAGTAGCTCTTACTAAATGCAGTGATTGCTTCAGAGAGCCAGCTGAGGCATGAGAGGCTCCATCCCTTTCCTTCCCATCTTTCTCTCCTCTCCTTCTTTCTCTCTTTCTTTTCTCTGTTTCTAATTAGCTTTCAGATAATTCCAGTACTGCTGGTTTCACAACCTCTTTGAGTATTGAAGGCTGCAGATCCTGGTGTTTGTAGTGTGCATTAATTAGGTCTATGCTATAGTCTTCCCCCTCCAGGCCTCCTCAGGACAGGGTCTTGTTGATCAGCCTTGACTAGCCTGGAATTTGCTACACAGAGCAGGTTGGCCTCAAACTTGCAGCAATCCTCCTGCCTTTTTCATCTGATTGCTGGAGTGATAGTCATGCACCACCATGCCCTGCTGAGGGACTGTAGTCTTTATCATGTTTCTAACTTAGATGTCCCCTATGAAATATGTTCTGTGTACTGTCTTGCAGTACTTATAAACCTGACTTGACAGTCTTAAGGTGTCATATAGATTGTTTTGTGAGTTTAATAGTTGCAATTGAAAAATTTTCACATGATGGATTTTTAAATGCAATTGGGTTACTTTTAAAATAGATCTAGTGAAATCTAAATCATGTAGAAATGTAATATATTGTTACTGATTTTTAAGTAGTAACAGATGAGTAGAAAAGCTACTGCTTTTTTGCAGAAAGTATATATGGCTACATACACACACACATATATATACACATTCTTAATGTTACTAGTGTCAAAGCAGGTTATGGTGGCACATGCCTTTAATCCTAACCTTTTGCAGGATATTTGATCATGATCACACTGTGAACCCCGAGGTTGGAAAAACCTGTTTCTACTTGTGGTGTGGCTCAGCCCTAGCACACATCTTTAATCCAAGAGCTTTCTGCTTGAATATTGTAAACAGATTTAAATAAAGTCAACTGTAGGTCAAGAGGTGGAGCAAGCAACCAGTTGACAGGAAGTGAACATAGGATTATTTAAAAACATAGAGAATAAGAGGGAGTCAGAAGGACACAGAAAGTGTAGGGAAAGGGGGCTTCTGGGATGTTGGCGGAGAGGAAGGGCAGCTGGATGATTTCACTGCCTTTCTGAGCTAGCTGACTAGTGTAATTGAACGATGGAGATCTTGTTAAAAAATGACACCTACCTCTTGGGAGGCAGAGGCTCTCAGATCTCTGAGTTCAAGGGAAAAAATAGTCACTAGTGTCTCCGTGGTTTTGACAAGACAGATTTTGGAAACCATCTAACTTGCAAAGGGCAATGCTAAGAATCGTTCACTTATAAGCCTTATCTTTGCCTGCAAGTATTATGTATGTTTTGACTGACGATAGGCCTGGAACACAGGGGTAGTTCTCTAGGTGATCAGTTTTAGGAAGGAGTGTATTATGGCACAGATATACACATTGATTTTGTGTTCTTTTGGATTGTTTTGGACATGCTGAGATAAATCCAGGGCCTTGCACATAGCTTGTACTGCGACTGAGCTACAGCCTCTGTAGCTGCCTCTTCTTTTTTTTTTTTTTTTTTTTTCTTTACTGTGTAAAATTTATTTTGGCCTTTATGTGGTAAGAGTATGTATGTATGTGTGTGTACTATGTATGTGGTACCAACAGAGGTTAAAAGAAAGTGTTGAATGCCCTGGAGTTACTGACAGATGTGTGTTGCTATGTGGCTTTGGGAACTAAACCTGGTCTTCTGCAAGAGCAGCAAGTGCCATCTTTGTCATTGAGCCATCTTTCCAGTCCCTAAGATTTTTATTTCTTACTGTGTGTATACGTATATGTGGGTGTGAGTGCAATGCCCATGGAGGCCAGAAGAGGGTGCCAAATCCCCTGATCAAGAGCTATAGGTGATTGTGAGCTGCTTGACATGGGTGCTGGGAACTGAATCTCAGCACATGATCTGAACCTCTGAGCCATCTCTCCACACCTGCCCAGACTGTTAGAAAAGTACCTTCCCATGCTTCCTGTTGGTCTTTGTCGTGCTTAAATAAGAGAGTCCTGCTGGAAGATGAGGGCCCAGAGTCAGGGATGGCTGTGCATACCTGTAACTCCAGCATGTGTGAGACCAGGCAGAGAGAGTCCCAGGTCATACCTGGCTACATAGTGAGCTGGAGGTCAGCCTGGGCCATGTGAGTCCCAGGAAACCAGGAGCAAAACAGAAACAAAAAAGAAAGACTGCTGGCCAAACAGGATCTGTTAGAAGGGAAAACCTGTCTCATTTGTAATATTGTAACTAACTTCACGTACTGTTAACAAGGAGATTGTCAGTACTTTATAGACTTTACAACTAAATTACTGGAAACTTACTTCATTAGGACTTCATTGGTGACTTTTTTTTTTTTTTTTTTTTTGGTTTTTCGAGACGGGGTTTCTCTGTGTAGCTTTGGAGCCTGTCCTGGCACTTGCTCTGGAGACCAGGTTGGCCTCGAACTCAAAGAGATCCTCCTGCCTCTACCTCCCGAGTGCTGGGATTAAAGGTGTGTACCACCAACGCCTGGCAGCATTGGTGACTTTTATCCATTAAAATACTGGGGCCTGTTCCTTTGGAAGGTTCTATCCAAATTACTTAGTAAAGGAACAACCAGTTTTAAAAGCTATAGGGAGCATGGTAGCACAAGGATATCTAATATTAGGATTAGATTTTATTTTGAGACAGAATTTCCTTATGTAGTTCAGTCTTTGGCCTCACAATCCTGCCTGAGTCTGTGTAGTGCTCAGATAAGTCATGTGACCCTGTGGCCAGCTCGGTTTTTAAATTCTCCTTTGAGTTTCTATGTAAGCTAATTTCAGGAGTTTGGGAAGAGGACTGAATGTACAGTAGTAGTGGCTGCTTGCATAAGATCTGCCCAGGACTACCTGTCAACATTCCATCATAGGTCAGGAGAGCACTAAAACTACTAGTGTATGGCAGGGTTTGTTTTCAGTTAGTGGGCTTGATTCTGGGGTAGGCTGGGTCATTAATACTTGCTGCCCTTGTTAAAACTTGTGTTGACTGAGTCTTTTGATTAGCTGAACTGGACTCAGTTGAATAATTAGTCTTCTGTTGTTGTTACAGTGACTGGAGGGAAGAAGAAGAGGGATTTTGCTCAGACGACAAGTGCTTGTTTAAGTTTTATCCAAGAAGCCCTGCTGAAGCATCAGTGGCAGCAAGCTGCAGAGTATATGCACAGTTACTTACAGACCCTGGAAGATTCAGACACCTACAAGAGACAGAATGCCCCCGAGGTAGACCCAGTGGGAGTCTGCTGGAGATGCAGTGGGTGCTGGGAGTTTTGCTTCTAGCTCTACCCACAGTAGCCTTTTGTTTCTCCTGCCTCTGCTTCCTGACTACTTGGGTGATGATAGGCATGCCACTACCATACCTGGCTTATCCATTCCTTTGACTGTCAGTATTCTGTTGAATGGAATACCTCATTTTATTTATCCATTAGTCAGTGGTTTCTCTCAACATTCATGTATGTGTTTTTTATGGTGCTTGCTTTAATTTCTCTTTGGTATATACTGATGAGTAGAATTGTAGGTTATATAATAACACTGTTTTTAATCTCTTAAGGTTTTACCAAGGACCTTACCAAAGTGGCTTTTCCACTTTATATTTCTTCTTCTTTTTTTTTGGTTTTTCAAGATAGGGTTTCTCTGTGGCTTTGGAGGCTGTCCTGGAACTAGCTCTTGTAGACCAGGCTGGTCTCGAACTCACAGAGATCCGCCAGCTTCTGCCTCCCAAGTGCTGGGATTAAAGGCATGTGCCACCAATGCCCGGCCTTCTACCAGCAATATTTAATGTTGTAATTTTTTCACATCCTTATTGATCTTTTCATTTCATCCATCCATCTATCCATCTATTTGAGACAGCCTTGATCTGGAGACCATGCTAGCCTCAGACTCAGGTTTACAGCCATCTTTTGTCTGAATCTCCTTGTGTTATGATTTGCATTTCTCTTTTGACTAATGATGCAGATGGGGCTTCTCCAAACCATGGTTGATTATGAGAACACTAATGGCTTTCCATTTCCCTGGAGTGCCAGCCATGGTCTAACTGCTGTGGACTTCCCTCAGGATGAGCTCACTCTCCTGCTCTGCCTATCTGGTCCCAGCTCTAACTTGGTTTTTCTTTCCTAGCCTTACTGCCCTTGCTTTTAATGGAGCAGGGCAGGCATGTGCTTTCACTTTGATCCCCTTTACTTGTAAGGGTCTTTCTTCAGCTATTGCCATCTTCCTGAGGGCCTCTTTTAGTGCCTTCACTCTCATAGCCATCCTTGTCCTGTTGTATAAAAGCCAGGTGTAGAGGTGCACACCTGTAACCCCAGCAGCGGGGAGGCACAGGCAACTTTTTCTGTTTTTTTAAAGATACCTGATTTTATTAATCTACTTTAGGTTGACAGAGAAATAGACATTTGCTCCCTGAGAAAAGCAGAGCTCAAATTCCTGAGAACATATATTTCATGACAGTTTTTTTTTTTTTTTCTGATAAATATTCTTAGATTGACATCCTACATAGCACATTCACTCATGGTTGAAAGTTCAGGGAGTGTGGGCATGTCTGCTGTCTGCTCTTGGAGGGTTGAAGATGAGATTGAGCCCCATAGGAATCCATTTCATACTGATTTTTAAGTTTATATTTAATGTGCATCCTAATGATGCCGTTTAAAGAGCACTAATTTAATGATGGCACTGCTATTCTTACCTGGTGTGGTGGCTTGAATGAGAACGCCCTCAGAGGCTCTGGCATTTGGATACTGGTTCCTGCTGGGAGCACGGTTGTGGGGGTTTACTGGAAGAAGTATGTCTGTCACTGGGGGTGGACTTTCAGTTTTGAAGTCACACATTTTCTAGGTTGCTTTCTGCTTCATGCTTGCCATTCAAGATGTGAGCTTCTTGCTCCCACCACCATGCCTTTGTGCTGTCATCATAGAGTAGTCTCTGCAACTGTGAGCCTAAATACACGCTTCTTCCTGATCCCTGTGGTCACGGTCTTTATCACAGCAACAGAAGCATCATCAGTACACCAGAATTTCAGGACGTGAGGATTTTACCTAGTAAAGGGTGCTGCTGTGCTAGGTGAAGTGCAGTAAAGTCCGACGGGGGGGGGGGTCCTCCATGGAGAAGTGTAAGTTGCTTTTAAGTGTTATAGTCGGGGAAAAATGAACAAAATCTTGTAGGAAGAAACTGGATAAGATAAGGATTCATTATTTTGCTATAATTTCTGCTTTGATAGGTCATTTGGAAGCTTGGAAGTGAAATTCTATTTTATCATCCCAAAAGCAATGTGGAGACTTTTAATAACTTTGCTGACCGAATGAAAAATATTGGTGTCCTGAATTATTTAAAGGTGAGAATGCAGTTTCAGTGCATTTTCAGTGTGTGTGTGTTTTAATTGCCTGTATCGATGCTGAGATAGAAAATCATGGAAAGTAGGTAGACCTGTGAGTAAAAGAGAAGGGGAGAATGCTACCATGTGAGGACTGCTCACTTCTGGTTTTCAGCCACCTTCTCATCTGTCTCTGCTGCCAAGCCCAGTCCTTCAGAAATCAGGCTGCACCTCCCTGTGGACACAGCCAACCTCCACAGGTTTGCTGAACTTACTTGAGCTGAGCTGGCATTTTGGGGGGTGGGGGAACCTGAAAAAGTAGGAACTTAAACATGCTCAAAAGCTGTAACGTTTCTGCTGTTTGGATAGATCCTTTTCTCCGAATTCCCATCTTTAATAATAGTTCTTTGCAAAAGAGACTGAGACCATACCACAGGATTATAGCCCTTTCTCTATATACTCCTAACTAAACACCATTCTTTAGGAAGTTTATAAACACTGTAAAGTTATATAAGAACTTGACCTTAAGTGGAATAAACATGACAGAAACCATACAGCCTGCAAAGCATAAAATGTGTAATGACAGAGTATGGACTATACCACTATCTGAACTTTCCCTCCCTCCCTTTCTTTCTAACTTCCTTCCTCTCCCTCTCTCCTTTCATTTGTTTTGTTGTTGTTGTTGTTTTTCGAGACAGGGTTTCTCTGTGGCTTTAGAGGCTGTCCTGGAACTAGCTCTTGGAGACCAGGGTGGTATCGAACTCACAGAGATCTGCCTGCCTCTGCCTCCTGAGTGCTGGGATTAAAGGAGTGCTCCACCACCGCCTAGCTTTTTTCATTTGTTTTTTAAGACAGGGTTTCTCTGTGTATTCCTGCATGTCCTGGAACTCACTCTGTAGACCATGCTGGCCTGGAACTCACAGAGATTCACCTGCCTCTGACTCCCAAGTGCTGGGATTTAAGACGTGCACTGCCACCTCCCAGTCAAGCTTTCACTTTTCTTTGATGGTTCTAATGCATCGTTTTCAGGACTAGGCCAGCATATGTTATATCTTTCATGAGTTTTCTGACTGATAGTTTTGACTTCAGTGACAGTGGGTGTTTTTATTGGTGCAGATTTCCTTACAACATGCATTGTATCTTATACATCATGGAAAGCTTGAGGATGCAAACAGAAATCTCAGTGATGCAGAGACATGGAGATACGGTGAAAAGTCGTCCTCTCAGGAAGTGTTAATCAACCTTGTTCAGGCCTACAAAGGGCTTTTACAATATCACACTTGGTCCAAAAAGAAAACGGAACTGTCAGAGATTGGTGAGTTGGCACAGTCAGCTTTCTTACTCGAAATGGATGGCAGGGCAGCGTGGCTCACATAGACCGCTGAGCTCATCCAGATGTAGTAGAAAAAGCCTTGCTCTTGGGAGGCTGAGACTGTCTTGAGTTTGAGGTCAGCATGAGTTATGTTTTAAGAGCCTGACTCAAAAATTCAAGCAAACAAATGGAAACTGTGTACTGGTACTAGTCTCACTTTTCATATTTCAGAATCCGGTCCAATTTTTTGGGGGGAGGGTGGGGGTGTTTCAAGACAGGGTTTCTCTGTGTAGCCCTGGCTGTACTAGAACTAGCTCTTGTAGACCAGGCTGACCTTGAACTCAGAGAGATCTTCCTGCCTCTGCCTCGAGGGTGCTGAGAATAAAGGCATGTGCTACTACTGCATGCAATTCTTGTTTTTTTGTTTGTTTGTATTTTTTTTTTTTCGTTACATGAAGTCATTATTTAAACTTTTTTTTTTTTTTTAAGCTATGATGCATACAAAACCCGGGAACACATTTCCCAACATCAAGATTAAAAGAACTTGAGCTAGCCTAAGTCCTACGACTCAGAGGGTTTCCTTAATCTTTAACCTAAACCATAGTCTATACGGCTCCTCAAGTAAAACTCACAAGTCTTAACTGTGTGACACTTCCTTGTTCCTATTTTCCATCCTCTGCAGCCCCTGCTTTATCAGGGACGGGGCAACACTATACCCTATTTTCCCACTAACCTGACCTCTGTCACAGTCCCTTACTATAGTTGTTAAAGACCCTTAGTCATCAAAATTCTATTTAAAGTAACACTATTATTTTATAAAATCATTACTTCAATTAAACAGTACAGCTTAAGAGGAAATCATCTTCATAATAATCCACAGGTAAAAATGCCCAGTAGAACAGGGTATTTCTATGAGATAATCACTTTACATTAAACACAGTGGGGATCCCTCCCCCACACCCATTTACACCATGCCAGATACCAGAGAAGAATGGCATTGGAAGAACATTTAAAAGGCACAGCAAAAGCAAGACATTCTGTAGTTGAAGCCCTTGGGCCTTGCCTTCTGGTGAACCAAACTCCTGAAGTCAGTTGTCACCTGCTGCTCCTCTTCTGACATGGCCACTGGCAGAAATGGTTGCAGACTTCAGATCTCTAAAGATGCCCATTATAAGAGTCTTACTGTTTTAGTCCTTATATTTAGATGTTTAATCCATTTTGAGGTGTACTTTTTTTGTGTATGATACAAGATTTGTAGCAGTCCACTCTTGTTATGCTTATGGCTGAATGATGTGTGAATCTCTTATGTTTGAGCAGATAAGGATGATTATGCTTACACCTCAGAAACTGGAAACTCGGGCAACCAGAGCTGCAGGACGTCTACAAGCATCTGTGCACTGCTAAAAACTCCTGGGGTTTGGGATCCTTTCGTGAAGAGTTATGTGGAGGTGAGTCACTCTTCATGGGCCGGGGTAGTGATGCACTTGTTGTCCCAGCACTGAGAAGGCTGAGGCAGAAGTGCTGCCAGTGTGAGGCCAGCCTGAGGTATATAGTGAGCCAACTCTGTCTCAAGAACAAAAGTACAAGATTGTGTTAGTTTGATTTTTGTCCTGTGATCAGAAGGAGGCTTTCTCTCTTTTGGTCTAAATAATTTATTACTTGCTATGTAAATTTGTCTTGTTTAGTTTTACCCCTGGCTAACTTTTTAATAGTTTGAATGTGAAATGTCCTGTAAAGACTAATATGCTTGAGTGCTTGGTGGTCATTAGCTTTGTGAGATTGGGGGACCTTTATGTGAAATGGGACACTAAGGAGGGTCCTGCTTCTACCTTCTTTCTGGCCAGTGTCCTGTGATAAGTTGTTGCTACATGTTTTCATAGACTAAGCCTTCAGCCATGTCTTCTCTGTCTCGATGGAGTCTAATCCTCTGAACTAGATATTCAGATAAATCTTCCCTCCTCTTCCTCCTCCCCCCACAAAACAAGGTTTCTTTGTGTGGTCCTGGCTGTCCTGGAACTGGCTCTGTAGACCAGGTTGGTGTTGAACTCAGATCTGCTTGCCTCTGCCTTTGAGTGCTGGGATTAAAGGCATGTGCCATCACCACCTAGCTAAATCCTTCCTTCTTTTAGTTGTTTCTGTGAAGTTTTTGGTGGCATTGATGAAAGAAAGTAAATATGCCTGTCATGGCCAGATACCTATGTGTATAGTGATGTAATTGTGACTGGCAAGTCTGCATTTTTATTATTGAACATAATGTAAAAACAGGATAATGGCTAAGGATTTGGTTGCTTGTAGAAGGGAAGTGGGAAAAAACAACCAGAATTACAACATAGGGGGTGAGGAAAACAATGGCTTTTAGCAAGTTTATTAAGCTAGCTATCCCACTATCTCAGAGTCCTTGCAGAAGAACCGAGGGCTTGGGTGCTGCTTGGAGAAAATTTGACTGCTAGAGTGGCTATTTGTTGTCAGAAGGTAATCTAGTTCATCTGTGAATTACTTCAGCGATAGGAACTGTAATTATCATGTACTCCTTAGGGCTGAAGTTATAATTAGGTGCTGAGATAGTTGAATCACACTTGGTCATTAGTGTTCTCTACTTTGAGGACTTGTGTTTCTTGTAGGAGCGGTCTTACGTTGGCGTCTACATTTCCCAGTAACAAATTCAAGGAAAAAATGAGCCACATGAAGCCCTTTGATCCTGTTTTGTAGATGTAGGAATGCTAGAAAAGCAGAATTGGTGTTACTCTTGTCTATTACACAGTATTTGTCACCTTTGTGATTTTTTTTTGTTGTTGTTGTTGTTGCATTCTTAGCAGTAAGCTTATATCTTCTTTTCATGGAATTATTTTACAGAGTTAATCTAAGATATACTTTTTTATATACAGATGCTAGAATTCTGTGAGGATCGAGATGGAGCCCGAGAGATACTCACCAATTATGCGTATGATGAAAAGTTCCCCTCAAACCCGAATGCCCACATATACTTATATGAATTTCTCAAGAGAGAGAAGGCACCAAGAGCAAAACTGATAAGTGTTCTAAAGGTATAGAAATTTCCCCAGTGTTTGAATACAAAGTCGTATCTTATGTTATGCACCTGTAGAAAATAGCAGCAGGCTGGGGATGTAGCTCAGTGAAAGAGCACTGGACTAGCACATGCATGGGCCTGGGTTGATGCCCAACACCATAAGATAAAACAACAGAAAGTAAACAGCCATGCATGAATGGTGTACTGTGGTCAGTAGAGAACACTGCTCCCTCTGTGGGCTTTAGGAAAAACCTCCAGTTCCTGAAGAGAAATTGGGCTGGCTTGCTTATGGTTTCAGAGGTTAAATCCTTTATCCTGAAGGGGAGCAGGGTGACATGCAGGCAGATATGCTGGAGAAATAGCTGAGAGTCCTACATCTTGCAGGTAACAGGAAGTTGACTGAAAGTCCAACTGAGGGAAGCCTGAGCAAAAGAGACCTCAAAGTCCGCTCCCACAGTGACACACTTCCTCCAACATAATAGTGCCACTCTCTTTGGGAGCCATTTTCTTTCAAACCACCACAGTATGTTTGTATTCATGCCTCTCTAGATTACATGTATTATATATGACTACACATAATATTATATTTCTTAGCAGTGTCTTTCAAAGAGCAATGATCTCCAGATTTCACAGTTTCCTTTATGGCTTAGTGCTTTTTATCTGAGAAATTTTTGGCCTTCTAAACTAATGAAGATTCTCTTTTATGCTTCATTTCTCTAGAAGTACTGAATGGTTTTATGCTAAAGGTCTATGATGGGTTTTTTTTTTTTTGTATGTGTACTGTGAGGTGTAAGTGTCAAGGCTTTTTTTGGGGGAGGTGGGGGCCTGCTTGGCTAGTGTAGCACTACTCATTGAAAAGTCTTGTCTTTTCTCCATTTTAGGTAGGTTGGCCCTGATGATATATATTCTGTCATTGCACTAATAGCATGATCACTGTAACTGAGGAAGTCTTGGAATCACATGAAAATTATATAAATCTATCCATTTTTAAAAGTTTTCTGACTTTTCTTGGTTCTTTCACTTTTTATATACATTTAAAAGTCAGTATGTTGTCATAGAAACAAAAGTCTTTGAGGAATTTTGAGTCTGTAGACCAATTTTTGAAAGAACTGGCACCTTTCACATTTTTTGTTTTTGTTTTAATTATGTATGCATGTGTGGGGCTGTGCACATGAGTGCATGTGCCCAAGGTGTCCAGAAGAGGGCATTGGATCCTATGGGTTTGGAGTTACAGGCCCTTGTGTGTCACCTGGCGTGGCATGAGAACTGAATTCTGGTCATCTGAAAGAGTGGCAAGCTCTTAACTGAGCCATTGTTTTCAGCCCCAAGAATTGATATCTTAATGAAATTGAGGCTTCCATAGAACATGGCATGTCTCTCTAGGTCTTTTTTCTTTTTTCTGAAATATTTTAATTTCTGATCTATTATTTTTGATAAATTTTGATAAATTTTTTCCAAAATAGTTCATGTTTGTCAAGAATGTAGTCGATAGTCTAAAGTTTGTCATAGCCAGTGTCTCACGTACAGGGGAAAGCGCAAGTGACAGGGTGGAAGGCGCAGGGAGGCCTTTGTCAAGGCTCAGTGAGAGACTGGTGAGTGGGTGGAGTCCAGGAAGAGGGGGGAATGGCACACAAGCAAGCAGAAGCAGACAGGCGGCTTGAAGAACAAGTGGCTGAGAGCTTCCTAAAACTCACCTGGTGATGTTACATGATCTGGGTGGTAGGTAGGTGAGTGTGTTCAACTTCATGAGAACATACTTGTTTGCCATAACAGTACATGTATTTCAATATAGTACTGTGAGTTGCAGCATTCATAGATAAATCATGAAAAACCATGACTGTAGGAACCAAGTTTTAATAACTTCTGTTATTGGTGTGTCAGTATTTACTTCTGACTTTGCTTCGTTGACCTTTTATAAAACCATTAAGAGAAACTGACAAAATTTGCTTTCTGTTGGAAATATAAAGTATCCCAGGACACAGACTGTATGAATTCACTTTCTTTTTCCTTCTCATGTATTATATCCCAAATGCAGTTTCCCTTCTCCCTCTCCTACCAGTCCCTCCCCACACATCCACTCTTCCTCCCTTTCTTCAGAAAAGGACAGGCATGAGTTCACTTTTTAAATTTAATTTATTTTTTCTGTGTCCAGGTGTTTGTGTCTGTGTGTTACCAAGCACTTATGGAGGTCAGATGACAACTTGTGGGAGTTGTTCTCTTTCTGCACTCTGACCCCCGGGTTCAAACTCAGATTGCCAGCCTTGGCAGCAAGCACCTTTACCCATAGAGTCATCTTGTTGGCTCAAATTCAATTTTAATAACTGTTTTGAAATAATAAGATGTTACTTAAAGTTCTGTTTGTTCCATAGTCATATATATGCACTATATAGTTCTTTGTATTCTTAAATAAAATCTTTAAGTTTCTCTTTTTTTTTACAAAAGAACTGTTTAAAATATTTACATGCTTTTAAGTGTGTTTTTGAGTATATTTTCTAAAATTGCTTTCTCTGCCCTTTGAGTTTTTGTTTTATGTAAATATTCTGTCATATTTTCTGAGAAACATGGTATTTTCTATGTGAGTTCTTTGATTTTGTTGTCTTGAGAGTTGGGTGTCATGCAGTTAAGAGACTTGCTTCAAACTTTGCAGCCTGGTCTGGGTTTGAGGTCCTAATCTCCTGCCTCTACTTCCAGAATGTTGGGATTGCAAGCCTAGGCCACCATACCTGGCTTTGTAATTTCTTCTTTGATTCTTTCTAAAAGCCACATCATTTAAGTTTTTAAAGTATGTCAAGCAGAATAAATATGTGTACGATACAAAAAGCCTGTTTACTCAATCTGTTTCTTCCAGTAAATTTGCCATGTTGTTAGCAAGAATTTTGAGAGGATTAGGGAGGGAGAATATAGATGAATTAGAGGGAGAGGGAGAGAGAGAGAGAGGGAGAGGGAGAGGGAGAGGAAGAGAAACAAGCCAGAGGTCAACCTCAGGTGTCCTTTTTTAAGAGCTATCTCTATTTTGCTTGCTTGTTTCCTTAAATGTTTTGTTGTTGTTGAGATAGTGCCTGTGTAGTCCGGGCTGGCCTGGAATTCTCTGTGTGGACCAGCCTGGCCTTAAACTAACAGAGATTCACTGTCCTCTACCTTCCGGGTGTTGGAATTAAAGTCCACCATACCTGGACCATCTTGTTTTATGAAGGTTCCCCCCTGTAATTCACCAACTGGTCTAGGCTGGCTGGTCAGCAAGCCCCAGGGACCCATCTGTCTCTGCTTCTCCACTGCTGAGACTCCAGATGTGCCAGGGTTCTTGGGATCAGAATGAGATCCTTGTGCAAACATTTCATTGACTAAGCAATGTCCCCAGTCCACATGTGTATTATGTGGGCATATTTCAGCCTCCCTGCACACGTGCGTGTGGAGGCTAGGAGTCTGTTAGGTGTCTTCCTGTGGTGTTCTCCACCCTATTTTAGTTTTTTTCCTTTATTTTACGTGTATGGGTGTTTTGCATGTCGGTACATCGCATACATGCAGTGCTTCTGGAGGTCAGAAAAGAGTGTTGGATCCTCCTGCAACTGGTATTACAGATGTTTGTGAGCTACCATGTGCTCTTAACTGAGCCATCTCTAGCCCCTCCACCCTTTTTTTTTAAAAAAAAAAAAAAAAAGCAAACAAAAACAAAAACAGGGTCTCACACTCAAACTATAGCTCACCAATAGACTAGCTTTTGAGGACAGTGAACTTCCAGGACCCTCCCCTTTCCCCCAGGGCTGGGGTTGCAGGTGCATGCAACATGCTACACCTTGTTGTTTGTGTGGTGCTGAGGATCTAAACTCAAGTCCTCATGCTTGCATAGTGAGCGCTACACCCACTCAATCGTCTTCTGAATTGTGTTTTCTGAAGTACCTTTTCAGAGAATACCTTCTTATATTCAGGTTGAAACTAGATCAAAGCAAAGTACTTTTTAAATTCTTAATTCATTTGCTGAGAGCGTGTTAGCTAGTAAGAATTTTATGTGAAAGTAAGCTAGAATTTGAGAAATGTCTGTATAGTGTGTAAATTACAGGACTATTTTCTCTTTCAGATTTTGCATGAGATTGTGCCATCCCATCCACTAATGTTGGAATTCCACACGTTGCTTAGAAAATCAGGTAAAAGTGTGTTTTATAGTTATTTGTGCATATAGACTAGATGGAGGACCAGCCATCAACAATCCAGGGGCCGCATCTACTCATCACCTGTTTTCACAAGCCAAATTCCCTTGTACCCCACTCCCTCCTGGAATGCTTGTGGTTGCTTTTGCTTTATGACTGTAGAACCTGTAGCTGCAATGGAGACTCCACATCTGCAGCTCACAAATCTTAAAATGCTTGTTGTCTGGTCCTAATGGAGAGACTTCGGAAGTAGGGGGACAGAATGCCTTTCACTTCTACAATTTACCTCTGTTAACCCTTTGAGGGCTGTTGTGCAGTATAGTAAAGAACGTCTGCCTTAGAAGTCCTTGCTTAAGACAGATACTACAAAGTCTGAAGGTCCCAACCTAAATATACCAAAAATGCCAAATAGGGTAGGCGGTATTTAGAGGGGTCTAACTGCAGAAGAGGCTCACCATCTTATGGTCATCATAGGACACTGAGCATAATGAATTGTTTTAAACATTTAACCAATTAGAAGGCCTGTAGTTAACAATACTTCATTAACTTGGTGTCTCTTCTTAGCGCGCTTCTCCAGTACCGTCTGTAAGCTTAGGCTTTTGTGACTGTTGCAGACACAGAAGAACACCAGAAGTTGGGCCTGAGCGTGTTATTTGAATTCCTTGATTTTGCCGGATGCACTAAGAACATAACTGCTTGGAAATACTTGGCAAAGTGTCTGAAGCAGACATTAATGGAGTGAGTAAGAAACAGTATTTTTCACTGGCTTATCATAAGTAATAATTGCCACATTTTAGTGGTTGCTTTTAAAGTTTTTAACGTGATGTTTTCACATTTCCTTTATGGGCTACTTAGCTCTTTCTTTTCTGAGTATCAGAAGCTGTGAAATACAAAATCATAAGCCTAATTGAAATTAGAAATCCTGTGCATGTATTTTGTGTTAGCAAAATCAGCCCTGCATTTTTTTTTTTTTCCTTTTTTTGGTTTTTTGAGACAGGGTTTCCCTGTGGCTTTGGAGGCTGTCCTGGAACTAGCTCTTGTAGACCAGGCTGGTCTCGAACTCACAGAGATCCACCTGCCTCTGCCTCCCGAGTGCTGGGATTAAAGGCGTGCGCCACCCTCACCCGCTATCAGCCCTGCATTTTAAAGTGTCTGATGCTGCACTTGCCAAGCATATTGTGAGTGCCACATTCTGGGTGTGAGAAAAGACGTGGCTCTGCTCATGTATATTCTGGGTGTGAGAAAAGGCGTGGCTCTGCTCATGTATATTCTGAGTGAGGAGCCTGTGATTGGAGATGGAGGGTCTGAGATTTCAGTCCAGGGCTTTAACTTGGTGTTCATGCTGTAGGGCATGGGCTCTGAGGTGGGCATGGGATGTGGAGACCAAGAAGAGTGAACGTGAGCTTGCCTCCATGCTTCTGTAGTCGGGGCTTGTCCCGTGCTGTCTTAGAGACCTCCCACATTGAGCTCCTGCTGACAGCTTCCCCTCACTCACTTGCCCTTTTCCCGTGTTTCCTTGCAGAGGCCATCTGGTATGGGTTGAAGAAGAGTGGATGTCTAGAAGAAGCTGGTGGCCCACCTTTCACTTCAGCTTCTTCTGGGCAAAGAGCGACTGGAAGGCAGATGCTGACTTGGCGTGTGAGAAAGCTTTTGTAGTGGGAATCCTTTTAGGAAAAGGTCTGTGGTTTTGTTCTGTTTATTTGGATGTAGTATTGGCCAAGTCTGAAGCTAGAAAGTGGGCCGGTTTGTTCATCTTGTCCAGTATGATGCCTAGGGGTTTTAGGTGCTTGAGAAATGACAGGACTGAGAGTGTGAGCCCTCAGCAGGATCGTGATAAGAGCTTATTCGGGGTCCTGTGAACTGTGCGGTTGGCTTCTATGCCCTGGCATGAGTTCGGGACATAAAATGCACTGTTCAGACTCTTGGGCCTTCCTGTGCAGGTTTACTGAGCTTATGGACAGTGTCACAGAAAGCACAAAGATGCTCTTAGTTGACCTCAGTTATTCATTAGCCTCTCCTGTCCTGTAAGGAATGCACATCCCCTCCACCCCCACACCACCCCAAAAGAAAGAATACCACCTATTAACAGCAAGTCTTCTAAAAAGAGGAAATTGGTCTTTTATTATGGGATATTTTGGCCAGTAAAATGCTTACCTGCTTTGCACCACTGAAACATGAGTGGTGGAACACACTGAAATAAAACTGCCAGGAAGTACATCCAAAAGTATGAAAGGAGTGCTTCAGTGAGCACCGGGAACCCTGTGCTCATGAGCTCCCAGAGTTCGCCTGGTTGTGGTTTGTGTCAATGCCTAGTGGGACCCTGAGGCTACACCATGTGCAGTGCTAAGAGGGCGTCTCTTGTGGAATGAGAATTGGTGTGTTTCTTGTAGTCACTAAGATTAGGAAAAGATTGATTTTATGAGAAAAGGAGGATTAATGAGAACAGAGGTGAAAAATGCCATTTCTAGTCACACACTGGTGATGGCACAGAAATGGGCTTGCCTGCAGTGCCTCATCACTTCCTGGTCTCTGAGCACAGACCGTACAGACGGCTCAGGGTACTGCATCGGAGCAGAGTCTGAAGGGACAGTTTCCAGTCTTCCTGTCACTTAGATCAAGCAATGACATTTGGTGGCCTTCTGTGTGAAATGTTCATTGTAAACATGGCTCTTTCCTTATTTGCTAACAGACTTATAAATACCAAGAGATCATCTCCTGGAGGGCTCTATGAATTCCCAAGTATTCTAGAATTATGAGACATGTTTTTTTCTTGAGAATGGGCACCTTTCTTCCATCAGGGTATGTTCTGGCATTGAGCTGAGTTTGCTTCTCACTCTGGCCACCACTGTTACACCTTCACAGTCCATCTTGGTCAGCTTCTGCTTTGTCTGAGAAAGGGTGTGACAACTGTTGTTCCTCCCATGCTGTGTGTAAAGCAAGGCAGGCCCTTTTTCTCTTTGGAGGGATCTTTCCTTATAGTTAGCAACCCATTGCCTTCCACCTTAAGCTCTCTTCAGGTTTATGCAGTTGTTGGTGTTAGGACAGGGTGAAATTCTATCTGGTTTTCTGTATAGGTAAAAGCAGAGATCTGGTTGTATTTAACTTTTACTATAAAGTAGTTTATGAATATAAATTAGTGCCTTATTTCCAGATACTTAGGAGGCTGTGGTGGGAGGATCTTTTGAGGCCAGGAATTATATGCAAACCGAAACACCACAGATTATTTTAGTAACACTATGGGCACTATAGGCCCCACCACTAGCATGCTGTCTCTGAGGATGGTAGGTGGGTTCTGTAGTTATGGTGTATAACCTAGTATTTTCTTAGGAAAGATAGATGTTTGTCAGCTGAGGATATAATAAAAATAATTTTTCATATGATTTATGATTGTTTTAATATATGATTTAATATAAATAATCACAGGTAGGTCTGGTGGTACAGGCCAGTAATCCCAGCCACTTGGGAGGTTCAAATAGGACAATTCCAAGTTCAAAGCCTACCTGGGTTATACAGTAACTTCAAGTCCAGTATAGATAGGTAACTCCATGGTACCCTTCTTAAAACAAAAAGAAAAAAGAGGCCTGTGGCAGGTACTGAAGAGATGGCTCAGTGGTTAACAATGTTTGCTCTTCTCACAAAGAAGCCAAGTTAGGTTCTCAGCACCCACATTGGGTGGCCAACAACTGCCTGAACTACACTCTCTTCTGGCCTCTGTAGGCACCCATAAATATGTGATGTGCACACCAGCATACATAAGTAAAAACAAAAATAAATGCTTCAAATCAAAAGTAAAAGATGGTAGGGTTATAAGGCTCAGTGATAGAACATGTGTCCAGCGTGTGCAGGGCCTTGGGTTCAGTCCCTAGAACTGCGTGAGTTCAGGGTGGGTGGGTAGCTGTCTAGGTAGACAAATTGCATCATATCAAGCTTACATTTTTCTTTTAGAAATTGACTTCTCTGAAACACTTGACAAGTGTCATCTTTGCATTGTGAGACTGAAGAGCAGGTATACCAGGCACCTTGGTCAGAGTGTCATCTCCATCCACTCTGGCTAGAAGGCTAGAAGGAGCCATGTTTGATAACTTCTAATCTATAATTGTTTATTCTAATCCTCCACATTCCTGCTTTCTACAGAGAACTTTCTTACTGTGAGAGATGCCACTGTAGCTGATTGACAAGCCGGCATTGAGAGGGAAGCTGGGTTAGGATAAATTAGCTTTTGGAAGGCTCCCTTAATAAATGTGTATATAATATGCGTATCACCATGTCTGGGACTTAGGAAGGGTAGAAAAGGAGTTGAAGTGTTTGTTTTAATTATGGGTGAGATATGCCTTCGCAGGTAGCACTCGCTTTCATTAGTGAAGCTTATACAGGGTGCTGTTAAACTGTGTGTTTTTAAAGGGCGATTCTCACACTTGATTTTAGCCAGAAGTCTGAGAAGGGAATGTTTTTGTTTTTTAAACAGAAAAAAGTGTTTGTTTAGTGGGAGAACAACATTGGTATATGTGATATAAATGAATCTACTTTCATAATCACTAGTCTTCTAGGACTGAAGCAAAATTTTAAAAATGGTAAAGTATACTTAATTAATAAATATTAAAACTTTTTTATTGTTTTATTTTTTAGGTTGTAGATATTTTCGGTATATTGTAAAACAAGATCATGAAACCTTGAAGAAGAAAATTAAGCGGATGAAGAAGTGTGTCAAAAAATATAGTATTGTAAATCCAGGTGTTTGCACCTAGATTGTAAGTTGTTTTACAACTGTCACTACAGTGTGTTGGCTCAATGGTTATTGATTGTGTGTGTTTGATGTTTTAAGGAGGTTTAAATTATTTTAAGTGTGTGTATACATGTCAGCTGTGTCATTCCTCAGGAGCCTTGCTTTGAGACAGGTCTCTCACTGAGACCTAGGGCTCATCTATTAGGTTGGCTGGCTAGTGTGCCCCAGGGACTCTTATTAGTTCTGGGATTATAATTGCGGACTACCATGCTAAGATTTTTATTTTTGAATTCATTCATTCATTCATTCATTCATTCATTCATGTCTGTGTACTTATGTGCAGATGACTTGGAATGAGTATGGTGGAGAATAACTTACAGGAGGAGTTGGTTCTTTCCTTCCACCATCTAGTTCTCTGAACTGTGGTTGTGAGAATGACAAATGATCTTATCCATTGAATCATCCTGTCAGCCCTATGCACGGCTTCTTTTGTGGGTACTGGGCTCAACTCATGTCTCTGAGCTATTTTCCCAGCCCTTTAATTGTGTTAAATTTTTTCTCCATTTTTTAATTTAAATTGGAAACAAGGTTATTTTACATGTCAATCCCAGTCCCTCCTCCCCCCCAACACACACACTAACACCCTACCTATCCCATACCCTTTCTGCTTCCCAGGGAGGGTGAGGCCTTCCATAGAGGGGTCTTCAGAGTGTGTCATATCCTTTGGGATAGGGCCTAGGGCCTCCCAAGTGTGTCTAGGCTCAGGGAGTATCCCTCTGTGTGGAATGGGCTCTCAAGTCCATTCCTATGCTAGGGATAAGTACTACAAGAAGCCCCAAAGATTTCAGAGGCCTCCTCAACTGACACCCACATTCATAGGGTCTGGATCAGTCCCATGCTGGTTTCCCAGCTATCAGTCTGGGGCCAAACAGCCCCCCTTGTTCAGGTCAGCTGTTTCTGTGGATTTCGCCAGCCTGGTCTTGACCCCTTTACTTATCACTCCTCCTTCTCTGCAAATGGATTCCAGTTCAGTTCAGTGTTTGGCTGTGGTTGTCTGCTTCTGCTTTTATCAGCTGCTGGATGAAGGCTATAGGATGGCATATAAGTTAGTTATCAATCTAATTATCAGAGGAGGGCATTTAAGGTAGCCTCTCCCCTGTTGCTTAGATTGTTAATTGGTGTCATCCTTGTAGATCTCCAGACATTTCCCTAGTGCCTGATTTCTCTTTAAACCTATAATGGCTCCCTCTATTATGGTATCTCTTATCTTGCTCTCCTCTATTCTTTCCCGGACTCAATCTTCCTGCTCCCTCAGGTCTTCCTCACCCCTCCTCTTCTCCCCTTCTCATTCTTCCTGTCCCCTCCCCCCATGCTCCCAATTTGCTCAGGAGATCTTGTCCCTTTCCCCTTCTCCTGGAGACCATGTATATCTCTCTTAGAGTCCTCCTTGTAATTTATTTATTTTTATTTTATGTTCATTGGTGTTTTGCCTGTATATATATCTGTGTGAGGGTGTCAGATCCCCTGGAAGTGGAGTTACAGACACTTGTGAGCTGCTATATGGATGGTGGGAATTGAAGCTGGGTCCTCTGGAAGAGCTGAGCTATCTCAAGCCCCTATTAAATCTCATTTTCCTCTCAATTATAGTGAAAATAATCTCATAGCCTTTGCTGTTTGTAAGTGTATATATTATATTTTTCTTTTTTGTAATGTTACATGTACATTTTAAAAGGATGATTCTTACTTTATTTCATCCAGAAAGCTGAGGAAGAAATGTTTGTGTTTTTTAAACAGAAAAGGGTGTTTAGTGGGAGAACATGGCTCTCGTATGGTTGCTTTTTGCAGATGACCTGCCTGTGTACTAAATACACAGTAGTGTATTGCATCAGTAGTGAATGCATCACTTTTAGATTCTAACTGACCTATGTTACATTTTCTGCCATGAAGAAGAGAAGTAGGTCTGTTGAAGTAAGGAGAGGCTGAGGAAAGGACTTCTTTCTCTCTTGGTTTTAGTAGAGCAGGTGGGACAAGTGACCCTTCAGAGAGGAACCTTTGACTTCGGAGGACGGATTTGAGTCAGAATGGTAGAAAAGGTTGTGGATTAGCTTAAAGGGGCACGGTGATGTAGGATATGCTTTGGAAGTTGTATGTCCCCCCTCCTTTTCTCTTGTTAATGAGAGCAGCTACAAAGTAAGCCTTCGAGGACAGCTTGACCAGAGGCCAATGACATGTTCCAGGAACATAAGCTGGGCTCTGTAGTGTATTGTGGTGCTGGTAAATGCTTCTTCAAAATGATTGTGCCTCTTGTGCAATTACTGTTGAAGTGACTAGTATTTGGGTTCCAGGAAATGTGTGACAAAGCTCACATTTCTCCATTGACTTATAGCCCTACCAGTCTTAAATCATGTGCAGTAAAATTGGGCAAATTATGGTTTGCTAATAATCTTTATCTCAGTAGTATTTTGTATATGTGGTGGCAGATAACTTCATAATGAACAAATGAGACCAGAGTGTGTTTCATAGCACCACTTGTAAACCAAGTTGGTGGTTGGATTGTCTGGTAGTTCTTTGTAAGCAAATTGTAGGAACTGTAGGAATAAATGCCCTGACAAAGCTCAGAGCACAGGCCAAGATGAGTAGGACATCACTCCTGAAATTTTAAGTGAGGGTTTGTGTATCCCGAAATTTTCTGGGACCATGAAAGGGAGGTGCGGAGCTGTGGTTCTTGGTTTCTACACAAACCTTTACTGTTTTTGTTTTGTTTCTGTTTGTTAAATGAGGCCTGCCTTTCTAGGCATGGCTGGCCTTGAACCCACAATTCTCTGCCTCAGTTGTTACATGTATATGATACAACATCTCATTTTTCTAGAATTTTCTTAGTGCATGTTCAGTTAGAGCACTGTGACTTAATACCTGTGGAAATTATTTTAGGTCTGCCTGCTATGTCACTTTCTGCCTGGATCACCAGACTTCTCTTTCCTACATTTCCCAGAATTCTTCTTGACTCCTAGCCCCACCCATCTTGCTCTCCTATTGGCCAATAGTACTTTATTTATCAACCAATAAGACAAACACATACACAGAAGGACCTCCCCCATCAACAGTGACTCCACCGAGAGCATCTATAATGCACTGTGAGTCATTCAATGTCTTCCCTTGAAAAGCATCTCCTTAGGGTTTTGCTGGTTTTTAAAATCAGGTTATTTTCGTTTTTGTATTCATTTGCCTTATATATCCTGACTGTTCCAGGTCAGATGATTGTATATAAATCTTCCCTCCCAAAACAACCCCAGAGTACCATGGAGTCAGAAAGGCCTTGGTGGGTTTTACATCCCAGCACATACAATCTGATGGTACAGTCCCTGTGTTCTGTAACAGTGGAGAATGTGAGAATGGTAGCCATTCATTGGGTGCCATGGGGCCTGGCATTTGGGTTTTCTTAGTAAGGGGTAATAGATAGTAACATTTTAAAAAGCAGTGATAGGCTGCTGAATGAGAATACCCACAGAAGATATGGAAAGTGTCTTCAGAGAGAGTTGGCCTTGAACTTGGAGAATAATGACTTCATGCCAGTTCATTCACAGCTCCCACCATGATTGTACCTGGAATTCACAGATAAACTCTCCAATTAGTGTGCCTTCAGTAGCTGGCTGCAAATGATAAAAGTTTTTTTGATATGAAGAACAATCAAAAATGATTGCTGAGTTTGGAATCATGGAATGAAGTCTGAGCTGTAATTCAGAATACTGGATTTTATTGCCGTTTGACCTCTGGTGGGTAGTGGGATTCTTAGGTACCTCACTGAACCTCTCTGACCCCACAGGCTTGTCTACATGCTGGTAATGGGATGTGTGTCCAAGATCAGGAGGGATGAGGTGTGAGATGAAGACGCTCTGCAGACTGGTGCATAGAGCGCATGCAGGAGCTGCGTTCTGTCATCAGGTACATCTGTCTGTATGCAGACTTCAGGAGAGGAGCATGGCTGAAAGTAGACTGCGGAGAGACCTAAAGGTACAGGACAACTGTAGCTCAGGAGATGACTTCATTCATAAAATCAGGTCATTGTAGTGGGCCTTTATCCAAATGGCTGTGTTCTCCTAAGAAAAGGACAAGTGAACACAGGCATGCACACAGGAAAAATGGCGTGTGAGCATGAAGGCAGCATTTGGGGTAGCACAGCACTACTAAGCTATAGCTGCAGAAGATGGCTTGTGAACCCCCAAGCTGGAAGAGACACCTGGAACTGATTCTCCTCAAGCCCTCGGAAGAAATGGCCCTGCTGACACCATGACCTCAGGGCCATCAGAACTGAGAGGCAATAAATCTTCTCATGAGAATCTTTCAGTGTGTGTACTTTGTACGGCAGTTCAGGCAAACTAACACAGTATTTTTACAAAATGTGTGTTTCAAAGAGGAGTGCTACATGCTTCTGACAGATAGGTCCAGATGGTTCTTTTTTGCGGGGGGTTTCGAGACAGGGTTTCTCTGTGTAGCTTTGGAGCCTATCCTGACACTCACTCTGGAGACCAGGCTGGCCTCGAACTCACAGAGATCCGCCTGCCTCTGCCTCCCGAGTGCTGGGATTAAAGGTGTGTGCCACCAACACCTGGCTCCAGATGGTTCTTAAGCTCAGTCTGCTTCTAATGGTTCAGCCATGATGTAATCCCCGAGTTTACCTAACACTCTGTTCTTTTCTGCCAGTTCTCTATTAGACCCCCTCCAGCCTAAGATGTTCACAGGTCTGATGTCACAATTCCTTCCTGTGAGTCCTCCATGGTGCTGTCCCCTCTCTCTATTAATATAATCTGCCTTCCATTATTGGGCCCTGTTTTATGCTTTCCCTGCCTTAGTTAGGGTTTCTGTTGCTGTGAAGAGACACCATGACCACAGCAACTCTTTCAAAGGAAAATGTTTAATTGTGGGGGCTCGCTTACAGTTCAGAGATTCCGTCCATTATAGCAGGTCACAGCAGCGTGCAGGTAGACATGGTGCTGGAGAGGTAGCTGCTATATATTGATACGCAGGCAACAGGAAGTAGACTGAACGCTTGTGATAGCTTTTGCAAAGGAGATCTCAAAGCCCACCCCCACAGTGACACACTTCCTCAACAAGGCCACACCCCTTGGGGACCATTTTCTTTCACACTACCACACTCCTCCTCCATCCTCCTGTACAGTCCATGTTAGCCTCAAACTGGTAATCCTCCTGCCTCAGCTTTCCAGGTACTTGATACAGGTATCTGCCGCCACACTCAGTTTCTCAGGATACATTGGAAACATCTGTCTTATTTATCAGTGTTCCTTTTCCTGCACAGCACCTTGTATACAGTAATACTTATTTATGGAGTTGACCCTGAGGATCTGTTGAAAATGACGTTGCATTGTGTAATTTTCTCTGAAATGTGACATTAATCAGAAGCTTGTGTCAGGGTGTCCAGTGGAAGTCTTTGCTTTCTAAACTCTGCAAGGACATTTGCCTCAACAGGAAAATCCCCTGGGTTTTTGTGGCCAAAGAACAAAGATCAAGATATAAATGCTAATCCGGAGATCAAGAAACTCGTCTCCAGGATGGGAGATGCACTCCCCTCACCCAGACCCAGGTGCTTAGGAGGCCATGGTAACTGTGTTCACTGGCCGACATGGGGCCAAGGGTTACTGCTCCCATCCAAGGCTTCCATAGCAATGGCAAGTGTAGGGAGACACCCTAGCCCCGCCCAATGGCAACCCGGACAGGTGCCAGGTGGACCCGGGATTGCCCATAAGGGTGGGGTGAAGGGAAGCTGGGTTGACGTAAAGGAAGGTTCTTAAGGGCTGCACGTGGAGACCCGTGTCCCTTCTCTCTGGCCACGCTAGCTTGGTTCCTGTGAGCTCGCTCTGGCCTGCGTTTTGCTTTGGTGTTTTCCTGAATAAAGAAATCTTACCATCACGGACGGTCATCTCTGAGCACACGCAGTAATCCTAAGAGGCAAGCACTGACCTTTGAGTAAACAGCCCTGTGGAAACTCCACAGTCACCAGTGACTCAGACTCCAGCCTATGCCTTCAGAAGCAGAGGCCGTGCATTTGACTTAGTGATGGTGTGTTTGACAGCATGTATGACAGCCTGGGTTCAGCTCTGCCAGTGAGCTGACAGGTGAAATAAGGTGTGCTGTTGACAGTCACCCTGACTGCCCACTTCTTGGTTTTATGGGTTTTGTTTGTATCTTAAATATTGTGGAGCTTTTAAAATCCAGAGACTTGGCTGTATCTAGGCTTATGGTCTTAATGTCCTCCTGCAGTCAGTAGGAGCATTGTTTGGGCTGTCCGCTTTAGAAGCACAGCAGGGATGGACATGTCAAAAGGTTTCTGACAGTTCCAGTGGGCTGGAATCACAGGAAACGTTGGAAGGAGGCTCAGTTCAGGAACTAAATATCTGCATGGACCTGTCCCTCTGGGTTTGGGGTCTGAGTTTAGGGTTCCATGGTCATCCATTAAAGAACTAACTGTTCTCTGTTTTTGTAATCTTATTTAAATTAAAAACAATCTTATTTTGCATATTAATCCCAGTTCCCTCTCCCTCCTGTCATCCCATGCCCCCCACCCACTCCTCAGGGAGGGTGAGGCCTCCCATGGGATCATCAAAGTCTGTCACATCATTTGGGGCAGGACCTACGCCCTCCCCTGTGTATCTAAGCTGAGACAGTATCCCTCCATAGGGAATGGGCTCCCAAAGTCCTATCGTGCACTAGGAATAAATACTGGTTCCACTGCCAGAGGCCCCACAGTCCTCCCAACTGATACCCACATTTAGGGGGCCTTGTTCGGTCCTGTGCTTGTTCCTTAGCTGTCAGACTGGGGTCTGTGAGCTCCCACTTGCTCAGGTCAGCTGTTTCTGTGGGTTTCCCCAGCATGGTCTTGACCCCTTTGCTCATCACTCCTCCCGCTCTACAACTGGATTCCAGGAGTTCAGCTCAGAAGATCGAATTGGAAGGAGAGCAAGAAAAGAGATACCTTAATAGAGGGAGACATTATAGGTTTAAAGAGGAATCTGGCACTAGAGAAATCTCCAGGAATCCACAAGGATGACCCCAAATAAGAATCTAAGCAATAGTGGAGAGGCTCCCTTAAATGTCCTTCTCCTATAATGAGATTGATGACTACCTTAAATGCCATCATAGAGCCTTCATCCAGTAGCTGATGGAAACAGAAGCAGAGATTCACAGCCAAGCACTGAGCTGTACTCCTGGAACTGTTATTTAATGGGTATAGTGGCACATGCTTTTAATCCTGGCACTTGGGAGGCATCACTGTAAATTTGAGGCCAGTGTGGTCTACATAGAGAGTTCCAGGCTAGCCATGGTTATATAGTCTTAAAAAAAAAAAAAAAAGGCTTATTGGTTGGCAGAGACATATGTAGCAAAACAGTCTTAAATACTGATGACATGTACATGGAGTAAGAATGCTTCTAAAGCAGTTAGGGCTTGTGGGTGGCTTAGCAGGTAAAGGTGCCTGCCACCATGCCCAACAGCCTGAGTTGTCCTCTGATTCCCACACATACCATGGGCTCCCCACTCCCCCACCATGTAATAAAATCAGAGCCACCATGGATCTGGCAAAAATAAGGAAAGTCTGTGTTCTGTGCTTCCTGGTCTTTGTGTTCTCTGGGACAAGTTTGTGCTGAAACCCGTCAGTGTGTTAGTATTGAGTCAGGCTTTGGGCTGCTGAGCCAGCCAGCTTCTCCATTACCATAAAAACGTCTAGGATCATCAGAGGAAAGGCTTTTCTGAACCCATGGTTTCAACCCATAGTTCTGCACTGTACTTGGGCAGTGGTGTGTGCGGAATGTGGCAGAGTAAAGCTGCTTACCCCAGGGCATCTGGGAAACAGCAAGGGGCAAGGTGGGGTCTCAAATACTGCCAAGGACACCACCTCAGGACCTGATTCTTCCTATGAGGTCATGTCTCCAAAGGTTCCAGCACATCCCAATGGTGCCACAAGCTGGGCGGGGCAGGGGGCGTTCGAGAAGGTTTTCCATGTATGCATTTTAGAGGATCAATATCTAAACTACAGAAGCTAAGGGGTACAGATTGGTGGTAGGGTGTGTTCAACGTGTGTGAGACCCAATCAACATGGCAGTTATACACAGCCTGATTTGTGAGGTGCTGGAACTCAAACCCAGGGCCTTTTGCTTGCTAGGCAAGCACTCTACCAACCAAGCCATGTTCCAGTCTGTGCCGATTGTTGCAGCAGAGTGAAGTGACTGAGACACCCTCCCTATACTGCCTGTGTTTTTCTTTTGGGGAAATGCAAGATTCACGAAATTTCCTCCCATCTAAGCACACACCAGACAGCCTGCATGACATGTCCCCAGACCCACACCCGTCGTCCTCTGTGCCCCTCTGCACTGCAGCAGCCTGGGCGCTTGCCTTACAGAGTCCACCTCTGGGGCTCTCTAATGTGTGATGTGCTGCTCAGCCTGCAGAGAAACCGTAAACAAGTGGGAATTTCCTGGCCTGCTCCCAACATGGCCGGAATTCTGTGCAGCTTGGGGAATCACTGCACCTCAGTCATTGGCCCCCTCACACTTTTGACTAAGTGCCCATGGGCCCTAAGCACTTGGCACTAATATTGAGACTTGCTCCAATATTGCTTTTGGACGGAACTGACAGGTAAGGACACCTCTCACTGATGTCACTAGGTATGCTTAGCCACCAGACCAGAGAAAGGACTGAGGAGCCACCTCAGTGAACTTGGGGCAGGATGTGAGGGAGAGAAAGAAGGAAGAGAAATTGGGAGGGGAAGGAGGGGGGGGATTGGGCAGACTGGGCAGGCAGGAAGGCGGCAGCAGAGAATTCCCAAGGTCCAAATGCTGGGAAAGCAACTAGCCTGCTGTTGCTGGTCGTCCGGCCCCATGGCTCTCTCTCGGCATGTTCTACTGGGTCTCACATTGTTGGGGTGGGTGGGCCTGCTGCAGAGACACCCCCAGTGCTTGGATTATGGACCACCCTTCCGTCCTCCTCTCCACCTGGAGTTTTGCTCTGACTATGACTCCTTCGGCTGCTGTGATCAGCGCAAGGACCACCGCATCGCTGCCCGGTACTGGGACATCATGAACTTCTTTGACCTGAAGGGCCATGAACTGTGTGGAGGGTACATTAAAGACATCCTTTGTCAGGTGGGTCTGATGTGATTCTCTGAGGAGGAGAGGGAACCGACTTGGAAAACTGCTCTCTGGCGTTAGGGTGCTGGGCTGAATGGCAGGTCCTGGGGTAGGATGTTCCTGCCAGGCGCCTCCCTGGAGAACTGGAGACAGGGTGCACACTGGTTCCCCTGAGTCCTCTCTGAGGTTTTTCCCCCAGGCAGCAGAAGGCTGAGATGTTTTGATGGAGTCCTCAGTGCAGCTGCTTCATCCTGCCTGTGATGGGACCAGAAAGCCAGGCACGACATTCCTGTGGCATTTATGGGTCACATAAGGGAGGGAGTGGTGGCACCTGCCAGCGTGGGGGCTTTGCAAAGGGGACTTCTGTTGTGATCGTGCTGGTGGCAGGGAGTGGGGTCTTGCCTTCGGAACCCCTGAGCTGGATGGAGACAGCCTCAAGTTGCTGGGAGGTAATGACTCATCCTCCCCGGGCTCACCAGTAGCCAAAGTCCACACTTGGGAGCCATCAACTTAGGTGAGCTGAGCTTGAAAACAAGACGGTACAGGCTAGGAGTGTGTGTGTGTGTGCGCGCGCACACACACACACACACACACACCCGTGGGGAGAGGGTGCTGATGAGAGAAGCTGATGTAAGAAAACACTCTGGTGATGTGACTGACATCCAGGCTGACCTTTGACCCGACACCTTCCAGGGTATGCTAGTGTTGTTACATGCCTGTCTCCCAGGGCTTCTTTTCCACTATGACCACTGTTCCCAAGAATACTGGCCTCCCTAGCTTTATGCATGGGCACAGACGTCCCAGGCAGGCATCATAGTGCAGTCAGACTCAGAGGACAGCCACCTCGGTGGCATTGCCCTGGGGCTGTGCTCTCATTCCTTAGCTGTTCCCGGAGATCTAACTCATAGAAAAGCATGTGTGGTGTGTGTGCACCAATGTCAGGTGTCTTCCTCTGTCACCTCTACCTTTTTTGGGTCAGGGTCTCTTGTAAAATTAAGTGCCTGATTCAGGCAGGGTGGCTAGCCAGTGAGCTCCAGCTATCCTCTCTGGTCCAGTGCTGGGGTTACAGACACAAGCACCAGGCTGGGATCCAAATGCAAGTAAGCACTTCAGTAACAGAGCCATCTCCTCAGCTCCAGAGGCTGGGCTGCCTCTACTGAAAGCCTCCCTTCCTTCCCATGCCCCCTCTGATTCAGAAAGCCGCATTGAGCTGTTCCCTTGTTTTTTTTTGACTTGAAGAATGATATAACCTTATTTGTGTGTATTCGATGGCCATTCCCCGCCCCCCACCATGTGCAGTCTATACCTTGAAGTGATTCTGCAGGTGGTGATGGCCCTCACCCTCCTGGAGTCACAGTGGCTTCAAGTCTCAGGACCTCGGATTATGTCACGCTAGAGTGAAGTGCCAGCGTCATCTCTGGCCTGTTTCCACAATGGTTTTCTGAACTCCAGGAAGCGTGAATTCCATGAGAAGGTGTTGCTCACGGGGCCTGCACACAGGAGAGGTGCAAGGGTACAGTCATACATCAGAGACTCTTCTGGGGCTAAGTTTCTCCCCCTGGAGAAACACTGGTTTGGCTCCTGAGATGAGTCAAAACAACTTAGCAAGCTCTAAATGACTGCCTAAGTGTGCCAGGGTGATTATATTCCTGCTGCCAGCTTCTGTTTCCAAGTATTTCATCATTTCACTCTTTTTTCTCCCTCTTCTCCCTTCCCTTCACTCTCCAAGAGTGGATGGGCTGGGGCGAGCTGACACTAGAAGAGTGGGTCATGTTGCTTCGTGTAGCTCCTCTGACAAGCAGCCTCGGATGAACCAGACAGTTCATGGGGAGACACTGCATCTCTGGGTTTGCTTCCCTCTGCCTGGTTGCCAAGGGCTTGCTCTACAGTGCCCAGTGAGGGGTCGTGAATGAGAACAGTGGGATTCTAATATACAGGAGGAGTGCCGCTGTCCCTCTGTAAAGGGACTGGTGAGTCCAGTCAGGCTGCTCCACTTTGAGAGCTGCCAGTGATCTGGGTGCCTTGCCTGACAGAATCATCCCTATCCTACTGCTCCAAATTTAGTCCTTTAAACCTTATATCTTAGTCACTTTCACTGTGACAAAAGACCATGACCAAGGCAACCCATGAAAGAAAGCTTCTAATTGGACAGTTTCAGAGGGTTAGAGTCCATGATGGCAGAGTGAATGGAACAATGAAGAGCTCACATCTTGATCCATAGTCACGAGGCAGAATAAGAGCACTGGGACTTTTGATGCCCCAAAGCTTACCCCCAGTGACACACCTCCAGTAAGGTGATGTGAACGCCTGTCTGAGTTTATGAGCACAGTGTGTGCAGGCATTTGCAGAGGCCAAAAGAGACCCCCTGGAACTCCAGTCCTTCCTAAACAGTTCCACCAACTAGGAACCCAGTATTCAAAAATGTGAGCCAATAGGGGCCATGCTCATTCAACACCCCCCCCCCCCCCCCCCCCAC